CCATTGATGAGGGGCGCTGCGGGTTGGGCCGTTCGCGCGCGCGGCGGGTTGTTTGAGCTCCGCTATGGGTGCTCGCATTGTTTTGCGAGGCGCTGTTGCTGGGGCGGCGGCCGCGCGAGGACTCGCGCCAGTCTTGGCCATCAGCGCTGTTTTCCAGTGCTGCGCCCGTCAATGGTTTGGGGCGCCTGCGCGCGCTAGTCGCGCCGACGTTGGCGTGGCGGATATCTGTGCTGCACGCGCGTCGACGGCACGTCATCAGAACAGGCCGCTCGCCGCGCGACGGCGCGATGGTCGGTCCGCCGTTGTTTTGGCGGCGGGCGGCGGCGTAACTGTGTGAATGTTTGGCAATTGTGTGCCTGCGTGGCGTTGCCAAGTCATGTCGTTGCGCGGCCGCGATTCGGCGTGGTCTGCGGGTGTTTGCGCCCTCTGGGAATGTGCCATGCTTGTTACATTGCGCGCGCCAGCCTGCTGCTCTGCGGGTCGTTCGACCCTTGCTTTGTTATCGCGCGGGCATCCAAGCTTTTTCTTGCAGCGCTGCGAATCGCAATTTGCTTTGACAAGTTAAATTGGTGGTCACTTTCAACGAAGTCGAAGGGGTGCCCGCCATAGTTACTTTAGAGCTACTTTTTTTGGTAGCTGATCAGCTGTAGAGGATCGGTTCATACACAAATGAAGGCGATGCTGATGCTGACGATGATGATGCTGATCACGATAATGATGGTGGCGTTTATTATAGGCACGTGGAACGAGACTGGGGGGATGGTGCATGTATGATGAGCTATCCCCAACCATTCCTCAGTCAGTCCCTCCCCTTCTTTCCATCATCGCCCTCCTCCCCCCCTGAATTTCCAGAATGCGAACCTACAAACCTACAGGCCTAAACGCCCGTCTAGACGTCTAGACTGCCTACAACCTCGACATGAGTCTAGACGTCGACGTCCTGGTGCCATTGCTAGCCCTCCTGGAAGGTCAGGGTCCTCCTCCTCCTCCTCTTCCTCCTCCTCCTCCTCCATCTCCTCCTCCTGTTGCCCTGCCCTCCATACTTAGCATCGTCGATCCTTGCCGCTGCCAGGCGGCTGCCAAGCTGGCCAAGAAATGCCTGAAGAAGGGGCCGCCGCACGCGATGTACAACTCGTGGACCGAGGAGATCGAGTTCCTGAAGGTGCGCAGGGGTAGGTCGAACACCTCCACGCAGGCCGCGCAGACCGACATCATTGGAGATGTTGACATCTCCCCAGAGGCGGCCGCGGAAGCGCTCGAGCGAGGACTGAGCTCAGAGCTTCCAGCCGAGACGGTGCACGGGGCGCTGATCATGGTTGAGTCTCACATTCCTTTCACTCCGCCAGCCTTGCTGGCAGCGCCTGGGGCGCCATCATCTCTCACGCCCGTGAAGCTCACCGCCGTGAAGGTCGAGCCGCCCCCTGCGCCAGCCAAGAAGTCCGAACAGTCGGTGCAGCCAGCCAAGAAGTTCGAACAGTCGGTGCAGCCAGCCCCCTGCGCTTCGAGTTCGTCGCAGCAGCTCGCGTCAGATTCCAGGAGTGAGAAACTGCTCGCCCTCCAGCTCTTGCAGAAGATCTGGTTGCCAGATGCCGCCGATGCGCATGGCGTTGCGCAGCAGCAGTTGGCTGTCAGCAGTGGCGCCGAGGTGCACGGCGATTGCCCATCGCATGCGCCCAGCGGCGCCACCCCCGCGCCTGGCGGCGCGGCCGGCGTCAGCGCTGGCGCAGCGGGCGCGGCGAGCGATGGCGCGGCCGCGGCCAGCTCAGCAGCGCAGCCCCAGCAACCCGAGAAGAAGAAGGTCGAGACGCTGCCCCACAAGAAGTTGCACATGCAGGTGTTCGCCGAGGGGAAGAAGCTGCGGTCCCTGATGACACAGGCAGCATCGGGGTGGTGAATGGATCGGGCCTGATGTGGAGGAGGATGATGATGAGGAGGAGGAGGAGGATGAGGAGGAGGACGAGGAGGAGGAGGAAGAGGATGAGGAGGACGGGGAGGAGGAGGAGGAGGAGGAGGAGGAGAAGGACGAGGAGGATGAGGAGGAGGTCGATACATCCTGAGGTTGAACGATGATGTTGTTGAAGAGGGCCAGGGACTGGAACGATGGGATGAACGATGTGATTGATGAGGAACAGGGGGTGAACCTTTTCTTCTCCTCATCCCTGCCTTCTTTCGCTTATCCTTGCATGTCCTACTGATGTACCTCCAGTCTCCTCGCTCGCTGCCTCGTCCGCCTGACCTTTGCATATCACACTTCTGTATCTCTAATCTCCTCTCCCGCTGCCTCCTCATCCGCTTGATCCCCCTCGCCTTCCCCCACGCAACGATTCGTTCAGCTGGCTGGCCGTGGCCCCCACCCACGCCGCCCCGTCCACAACGTCGCGCCACTTCCCTTGCTTTGGCCCTGCCCCCGCGGCAGGCGACCAACATCTTGAAGTTCAGCCAGGACAAGAACTCCGACTGGCACTGGGCGAAGGACGAGGTGTCGGACTTGCGGCACGTGGTGGAGGGCAACACGGATGGCCAGGAGGGCGAAGTCACCGAGGTGGCGAAGGCCCGCCTGCTCCACCCCCCTCCCCCATTACCACATCTCGCTCTCTCCTCCCGCCGGTCAACGAGGAGACGGAGAAGAATATCCCCCTGAAGTCGCTGCAGAAGTTGCTCGATCACGACCACAAGGATCCGCGGGTCAGCATCGCCAAACCTATCTCCACCGCCGATGGGCCATGGTCTCCCAGCACCCTTCCAAGCGGTGATATGCACGGTGAAACCCGACGGGGTCGGGATCATCATATATCACCGCCTGCGGGGGGCGTCGGCCAGCGAGGCCAAGACCGTACCATTGGAGATGGGGATCGGTTAAGCGATCCTCCGAGGGGGGGGGCATGCGATGCCTGGTTGCTGGCAGGGGTGCGCGGGGTGACCACGTACCTTGACCTTCCAGGGGGGAGGGGGGGGGGGGGCTATACCCCTCACCTTCAGCATAGTATCCCCACACTCTTTCATATGTCTCTAGGTCTGGACGGCCACGCACTCCCATCCTGGAAGGTCAGGGGGCGTGTACGAGGGCTAGGGCATGAATAGGATAATGACGAGATCCAACACGGCGAGGATGGATGCGGATCGCGGGCGTGGAACAATGTGGTCGACGGGTTGTGATGATGAGTATTGCCGATGCCTATGAGGATGCTGATGATGATGTTGAGGATGATGAGGATGGTGATGTTGACGCTGCCGATGCTGATGCTGGTGGTGGCGGTGACTATGATGATTACGCATATGAGTATGCTGATGATGATCACGATGATGACGATGGTGGTGATGCTGATGATGCTGGCGCTGCTGATGATGGTGATGAAGATGTTGATGATGATCATGATCATGATGATGATGATGATGATGGTGATGCTGATGATAGTGGCTGTTATGGGGAAGACGACGAGGATCATGCCGAGACTGATGATTCCTATGATGGATGATGAGGGCATGCTATGTCCGACGGGCATGCTATGTCCGACGGTCCATTTCTCGCATCAAGCAAGGGGGCGGTCTCGCGCGGCAGCGCATGCGTACGTGCGAGGAACGACGACGCCGCTACCGTCGCCAGGATTGACGTCGAGGGGCGAGGGAGAGGTGATGAATGTCGAGGCCCCCTCCACAAGCCGACAGGGGCGAGCCTAAAACCGATGGCGCGCACCGCGCACAGAGCCGCATCAGGCGTTCGACACCTTCTGCATCATGTCCTTGAATTTGACCATCACCTCGGCCGCCCTGTCGAGCTCGGGAAGCACCCTCTGCAGCGAGCGACCGTGGTGCGTCATGATCTCCGCCGTCGACCTGCAAAGAAAATACATGGCGTAGCGGTACTCGTGCTGCTCGTCACTGCCCGACTGCTCCATGCCGAAGCCCGACTGCTCCATGTACTCAACGGCCCGTTCCACCTCGCGCCTGGTCTTCTCGAACGCGACCACCACATCGCCAAACGGAGTCTGGTCGGTGACGGCAGCCTCCGAGGACGAGGCAGCAGCGGCGGCGGGCCCCGACGCCTGCGAGCGCCGCGGGGGCGAGCGGGAGCGAGACTCCGAGGTCGAGTCGGGGCCCCGCTCGTCCTGGCCAGTCGCGATCGGCGCCATGCTGAGCGAACGCCTGACATCCGCACGGGCCGGCATGGCGCCCGCGGGCTCACGCGCAGAAGCCCCAGCGGGCGACATGGAGCCAAAGCGGTTGCACGCGGCAATGAGGCCCCCACGGGGTGGAACCCGACGAGGTTCCAAAAGGGGATGTGCTGACCAAGGGATCCCAGAGATGCTGTGTGCCGGCCAAGGGCTGTGACCCCAGCATTCGGCACAACCCAAAAGCTGTGCATGAACCACCTGGCAATGCGCAACGGCAAATGCAATGCGCAATGCAGTGAGCGAAGAGCGATAACAACGCAGAGGGTTACAATCGATGCATTGCCCATGCATGCGGCGGCGGTCGGAGATCTACCTGAACACAACGATGAGCGCGCTAATGTGTTACAAGATCCTGGGAGGAGCCGAGCCGCCCACGGACATCGCTGACCAAGGATGATTCCAAATCGCCGACCAGGAGGACCCATGCCGAGGGCCAGGGACTCACAGCTCCGACAAGGGGGGCCCGACGGACAGGAGCGAGACCTCGAATGTATGCCCGCATCTACCTTTTTTTTATATATATATATATATATATATATATATAGGAACGACCACACACACACACTGTAGGCAACAACCCAGCAAGACACATGTGCACCGCGTCACAACGCATGCGACCACCATCATAACATACGTCACTGTCTTGACCTGAGTTTGCGTTGGCTCGAGGCCTCCCAGATGGCCGACATACTTGATTTTCGCATCACTGTAGAAATCCCTGGGCCCCCCCCCTCGAAGGCGACAATCCGTCGCCTCGTTGGCGAGCTCCGAATCCTCTCGGGACCTCCAGCGGATGGCTGCCCGCGGACGCGCGACACGGCGACGCAGATGGACAGCCCTTCCTCAGCGGACACCCAAACCTTGGCGGAGACCGTTGGAGCCAAGCCCTGCAAGAAGCAGCGCCTAGAGGAGAAGCTTCCTGTCGAGGGCGCAATCGTCATCTCATCGGGGAATCCTGCACATGCGGTGGCGAACACGGCTGGTGCGAACGACGCTGCGATGGAGGACCGCGTCGGAGCGCAGGTGAAGCAGCTTCCACCCGCGGTGAAGAGTGACGACCAGTTGGATGACTGGGCTGAGTTGCCATCGTCCTTCGAGTATGAGTTATGCAAATATCCTGACGCCATCGAAGTGTGCGACCCCGCCCCTTCGTCTGGTCCAGACTCGTGCCCGTTAGGGGCCTCTTGGACAGATGCCCAGAGGCCGTGGAGCTTTTGAGCGCTATTGCATCGGCATCGCCACCTCACCTCATCCTTTCTCGTCAAACTTACTATGCCCCTCCCTCTCCGACCCCCTCGTCTGGCCAATCCTCTTCAACATTCGTCCTCCAATCCTCTGCTTCATTCCCCTCGTCATGTCTGACCCTCATCATCATTCTTCCGTGTCTGATTCGCCCTCGGTCAACTTCATTTTCGGCCTTGGCTTCATCGCATCGCCCTCGCTCCCCGAACAAGCCCACCGTCAATCGCATTATCCTCATCACCCTTCTCGCCATCCACATGCACCCTCCCTCCCTCTGCTTCAGCCTCAACTTGGCGGTGCCCGCGCGGGCGCGACAGTTCGAGCCCGCGCTTATCTATGGCAGTCAGTGTGGAGTAAAAGGCCCACCCTGGCGGCGGCGGCGACGACGACGGCGGCGGCGACGCCGTCGGCGACGGCGGCGGTCGCGGCCTGGCGCAACATCTGCAGTCACGTGGTCGGGCTCGGGGGCGGCTGGGTCGGCCTCCGCGGGCCGCGGGTGCAAGGGGGCGGGGCGTGCCTGCGTCATCTGAGCTTTCTTGCCAGCCTGCCTCGGCTTGCCTCAGCCTCAGCCTCAGCCTGCATCGGCCTCAGCCTCAGCCTGCCTCGGCCTCAGCCTCAGCCTGCCTCGGCCTCAGCCTCAGCCTGCCTCAGCCTCAGCCTGCCTCAGCCTCAGCCTCAGCATCAGCATGCCGCGGCTTGCATCAGCCTCAGCCTCAGTCTGCCTCGGCCTCAGCCTGCCAATGGATGCGGGGGTCACGTGCCCGAGCTGCCCTCGATTACACACACACGCACACACACGCACACACTCACACACACACACGCGCGCACGAACACGCGCACGCACACACACACACACACACACACACAACCGCACCCACGCACACACGCACACACGCGCACGCACACACCTCAGGCGCACACACACACACGCGCGCACTAACACGCGCACACACACACACACACACACACACACACACCTACACACAACCGCACAAACGCACACACGCACACACGCGCACGCACAAACCTCAGGCGCACACGCACGCACGCACGCACGCACGCACGCAAGCACGCACACACGCACGCACACACACACACACACACACACACACACACACACACGCACGCACGCACACACACACACACACACACACACACACACACACACACACGCACGCACGCACGCACGCACGCACACACACCACACACACACACACACACACACACACACACACACACGCGCGCATACACACATACACGCACACGCACGCACGCACACACATACACACACACGCCCACACACCTTTATATGCACAATGGGGATTGGGCATCCATAGGAGCAACGACGATCCCCCCACCTGCCCCCTTTGTCCCATCGGATGTTGACGCGCCACGCATGCGTTGGCTAGCGTGTCAGGTGGTCTGGACGCCGTGTGATTTGCAATGGGAACTCGTGAGACTCGGCGTCTGAAGTGTGTCTGGCATTATGGGCGCTTCTCGGGGGCCGAGTGCAGGCAGCGAGATGTTCGTCAGCATGTTGGTGTTGAATCGCCTTTGCACCCTCGCTCCCTCTCTCGGGCCAGCTCCGAAACTAGCCCCGCTGCCCGCAGGGGTCTGTGACCAACTCGACGGGCTACCTCAACGCACAGTTGGGGGCGATCAACACCGCCCTCGAGAAGGTGTCCGCGGTCCTGCTGCCCCTGCAGCGGATGCACGCGAGCAAGTACCAACCAACTGTTAAACCCAAGGCGAAGGGCAAGGCGAAGGCCGCGAAGGCCTAGGCAGCGCCGCAGCCCGATCTTGAGTATCGCTTAACCGATCCCCATCCCCACCAGCGTGGGCTGAGTCCCACTGGCAGATGTATCCCCCTAAGTGGGGATATAGGCTGCCCTCTTCGGGTTTCAATGGGTATATCCCCAACTGGGGCAGTGAGATGGTGGGAATCGGGATGGGGATGAGGATGAGGATGGGGATCGGTTAAACGATACTGAGAGCTTGCCCCGCCCGCCACATCGGCCCTGCATGCGACAAGCAAGCAATGCGGCGACGGGCGGGCCTCTCGGTTTCCGTGAAGTTAGAAGGTTAATTTTCCTTCGTTCGACTGGATTCGACGCTTGCGCGTCGCAGGAAGGGGCTTCGTGGTAAAGCATGGGCCGTGCGACGCTGTCAGTTCACCATGCGTGGCGGTGCGATGGATGCCAGATCTCTGTACACCAAAATCGAGTCAAGTAAGAAGCACCGAAGCACGGGGGTATATCCACTCCGCTCATTGGCTCTCTTCTGACCTTCCAGAGCGTGAATCATGTTTTCCAGCACTGCACGCTTTTCGGTGCTGCTTGCGCGCCTTGATTTGGATGTCGATTCAAAGGTCCTGTTGATATACCTAGATGGTGGAAGTCCGAATCGCCCCCCCTCCCGCCCCGCTAAAGATGGTCCAAACCCAGACCCCACCTATCTCATTAACCTATCTCACCCCTCCTCGCTCCACCATCCCAACCTCCCCCCCCCCCCCGCCCTCCCTGAGGTCAACAAATCCAAGGGTCAAGTCACGAGCGTCCGGCTTCCCCCGCGCCTGGCTCGCTGCTAAGCTATACCATCAGGATGCAAACATCGCTCTGCCTAACTATAAGCAGCTCTGGCCAGAACCAAACATTATGTTCCTGCTGATGTGTTCCTGTAACGTCACCTCCCTTCGCGTTCGGTCCTATCACTGGGGGCATCTCACATAGGGTAAGAGTAGATGGAGTTGGAGGGTCGCGCCGCATCCTCGAAGCATTGCCGATGCATCGTCGATGCATCGGCTAGGTCGGCGTGGAGAACATCACGCTCCATGTCGACCAGCATCGCCGATGCGTAGTATCTATATATATATATATATATATATATATATATAGATGTACTATATGCAGCGCTCCTTCCACCCCCTCTGGTCGGTGCTCCGTTTTGGAAGCCTTGCATCCCCCTCCTGCCTTCTCAGCCCGCCCTATCATCCTCTCTGTTCGTATCAGCCGCGGCTCTAGCATGAGGGCAGCGCGGGCTCGCCTGAGCGGCGCCGACGACCTCGCCGATGGCGGCGCCGAGGCGCAGCTGCCCGAGGGCGAGGCGCAGCCCTGCAGGGGCTCCGGTTCTGGGCCGAGACAGCGGCGGGCAACGACGAAGTTCGTTGCGGCCGGGAGGGCGGTGCTGAGGGCGACCCAGACCCAGTCCGCTCAGGAGCGGACGAAGAGGCTCGGGGCACGCGAACAATTCACCTCCACCGACACTGGACAGGCACATCGTGGGCCCAGGATTGGCGCGGGCTCTCCATGGCATGCCTGGAGGGCCGATGTGCAAATCCTCGGCGTGCGATGGGCCTGGTCAGGATCGGCGGAAGTGGAGCGTTCGCGCGCCCATGAGACTGCATAGCACCCACGAGCCTGGCAGCCCACAAGATCAGCTAAACAGCAGGCTTCCGCCCATAGCCTTTGGGAGGAGGATACTTCCGAGATCCCAAACTGTTCTGGGGGGACTTCCGAGATCCCAAACTTCCGAGATTCCAGATCCCAAGTCCGAGATCTCAGATTCCATGATCTTTTTCCCTCATCGATCCTTCTAAACTCACTCCCTCTCAGTGCGAATACCACCTCCTCCCCCTCCTCAGGGCAAAGCAACGCTTCCTTCCCACGCGTCGAGCGCCCCCGCAATCGGGGGCGGTCTGATTTAGATTCTGCGTGGGCAAGTGGGCGGGTGGTCAGTGGACCGCGAAGGACCTCGTGAAGCTGGCTGACCTCATACAGGAGTCCTCGGGCAAGGGCTTGGACGCTCTCACGATCGGCGCGGGCAAGCGTGGAGATAATCATTCTCGAAATGTTCAGCGAGCCCTAGGTGTTCAGTCATTGAGCGAGTTCATCTATACTGCCAAGATCGCATTGCACAATGAGGGCGACAATGTTGATAGTTTGGTGGAGTTTCCGATGCGCCTACCTCATGAGATCATATACCACGCAGGGTGCGATTCGCCAGAAGATTTAGATATGAATTCCGTGGACCCGCGGGGCTACGTGACCAGGCAATACATGCCCCACCCAATAGTTCAGCAGCACGGCAGTGGGCGGGTGCTACCATTAGGCATTTACACAGACAAGCTCGCCGTCGGAAAGACCGACAATGTTGTGAGGTGCCACGTTGTTTCAAACACAGTGGCGCGTTTCTGCTGAATCCCTGCCTTAATTTGAAGTGGGTTCAGCATGTTCCATCCTTCTCTCCATCCCCCCTTCTGTAAGTCCCATGCCATAATAATCGTACCATCGCCCTCCACCTCGCTCAATCCTTGAGCCCTCCAGCCATCCATGGCCCCCCCCCACTTGCCCTGTCTGGAGGTGCAGCTTCGGGCCCACGTTCCGAAGGCATCGTTGCACTCTGTGGGTTGTGCTGGGTCGGCCCTGTGCAAGTGCGGGTGCAACGGGCGCTGCACTCTAGACGCGCTGCAATGCATCACGAATTGGTCTCTCAACTGGTTGCAGAAGGGCGAGGTACCGCAGCGCAGGCAGCCGAGGGCGAAGCCATCCTTTTTTTTGCCAGCACCCCCACCATCCTCCTATAATACGTTCCATATCGCACGTTCCATGTCCTTCCATCCTTCGGCTCGCTCGCCCCTCTCAACTGTAGCTCTTGCTCTGTAGTCGTGTATTCCTTCTCCTTCCTCGACCTCCCTCTTCCTTTTCGCCATCCATCATGTTATGTGCTCTCTCTCCCTCTCGCTCTCACGCTCTGTCTATCCCGTTTTCGCTCTCTCTCTCTCTCTCTCTCTCTCTCTCTCTCTCTCTCTCTCTCTCTCTCTTTCTCTCTCGCTCTCTCTTTCTCGTTTTTTGTCTCCTTCGCCCGTACTCCCCCTCGCGGTTTGTAGTATCTATGTTTGTTGGTATATCCCGTTTTCCCTCTCTCTCGTCCTCCCTCCATCTTCATGCTTCTTCTCCTGGACACACGCGCGCATAATATATATATATCTATATATATATATATATATATATATATATATACATATACATATACATATACATATACATATGCATATATATATATACATATATATGCACCCCCCTCATTCTCTCCCACTCGCTTCCCTCATCCTCTAGCGCCCCCTCCCCCTCTCCCCCTCTGTGGCATACATCTATTCATGCAAATGTATGTACACATTATGTAGATATGTTGGTACACACGTATCGAGGTATGTCCCTCTCAACGCCAGCCCTCCTCCCGCGCCGCCCATCCCCTCGCCCCCTGGTTCGCCCGGGCGTCTGTGGCCTCTGAGTCAGACAGGGCGAAGGGCGAGGGGCGGGGGCTGGTGAGGGGGGCAGAGGGAGGAGGTGAGAGGGCTTCCACGAAGGCACGACGGGGCGCCTTTTGACGCCAACGATGTCCTCCGCCGCAGGATTGCAGGCCTGCGGCTACAGCACATTGGGGCTGTGGTCGAGTACAGGGGCGACCTTCCTGAAAGACATGCTGCAGCCGGTTTAAAGAATCACGCTGGAGGTTGCATGTGTTGCGCGTGCCGTCCTTCTGACTACCACAAGTCCTATGGGGAATGCACGGCCCAGTCGCTGCCATTCCCGAATCGGACCAATCGGGGGAAGGGTCGGGGGGAGGTGGGGCATCGGGAGGATAAGGCTAATGGGCGGAACCGCCTGGAGGCACGATGGGGCGGCGGCGGGTGGAGGGGATCGGCATCGCGCAACGCAGGCGCTGAGGACGCACGAGTCTTATGTCCAAGAACTTTGGGGATCATTCATTGCGCGTGCCTCTCGCATCGCCAGCCGAACGGGATCGGTTGCGCAGTGCCCTCGTGTTCAAACACGGTGAAAAGAAGTCTGGATGGGGGCGAGTTGTGCACGGCCTAAAAGGTAGGCCATGGAGATTGAAGGCGCGGGATAAATTTGCGATGGGAGGGCCGATCTCCTCGATCAGGGATCTCGACACAATTTCAACGCCATGCGAAGTTTTTTTTCCGCGCGCGCGCGGACACGGCCCTCAACTCTGTCAGCCCGATATTTAATATTGCGGGGCTCCACCAGAATGGCATCGACCATTTCACGATCGAGGGGTTCGTTGATTGTGTTCTCCACACTATCGATCTCGGCGTGATTCAGAAATACAACGGTTTAGTCTTCGCCAGTGCTCTTTTATCAGATGTGTTCCAAACCCGCGGTGGTAATATTGCTGCTAAGGTGGCGATGGGGCTTCGCAAACTTCGCAAACGGACTAAAGAATACTACAAGCGGCGGACAGCCGCTGATCCACATCGGCCATTGACCAGAATTAAGAAAATATCAGTGCGTATGCTCGGCAAGTTCCGTAATCCGGCTCTGAAGTTGAAGGGCGGCGAAGGCCGCGACTTCCTCGGTTTCTGTGCTGAGTTGGCGAATGAGTTCTCGCCCGTGTTGGGCGAGCGCGGCCGCTTGTCGGCGGCAGCTGGTCAGTCATTGCAGTCTTTCGTGGAGTTGTCGAGGATGGAGCAACGCGATCTCGCCCCAGAGGCCCCTCCGGGTTAAAGCGCTAAAAACTGGAGAAGGGAGGAAAGCAAAGGAGGGACAGGGGAGTGAAGATGAGGAGGATGAGGAGGAGGAGGAGGCGTAGGAGGGAGGAGGAGGAGGAGGAGGAGGAAACGACGAGGAGGAGGAAGAGGCAGAGGAGGGGGAGGAGGAGGGCGAAAGACAGACTCGCACGTGGAGGGACCGTGCTACATAAGTGCGCTGACCAGCCAACCCTCACAATTTTGACTCGAGGCACGGGGGGGAAGCGTGCC